CCAAATCACAATAAATAAAATAATTTTTTTTTTTTAAAAAAAGCTCTTTTATGCAAGATTTCCAACCTATTCCCAAGGAGGAGCCTGCCAGCCCATATAAACCATTAGACATTTCTACTCTGTTAGGCAGGGTCAGCGTCCAAGTTCAGCCTGAAGAACTACAGAAAAAGAGCCCTCTGCCCATCTTCCCCATGAAGATTTATGAGTACGAAATCTCTTAAGTAGAGAGTGAGACAGGCAGGGAATCAGGCCCCCGACTCAGTACCCTTGGAGTTCAAGCCTACATGCAGACCACCAAATAATTCTTGCTGCTGGGTGGCACTGGAAAATTGCTTGCAGTTGGCAAACCAGACCCTTAGGCAAATAAGAGAGTACCTTTTGAAAGGCCTCATAAAGCCTGACCAGTTGTAAAATGCTGATAAACCTCCAAAATAGCCCTTCAAGTTCCTCGCCAGGTGCAGAGCCTCATTCCCACCTAAAACCCTTTATAAACCCTAGGATAGCCTTTGTTCTGAGGAGACTGGAAGCCAGCGTAGGCGAAAGCCTCCCTCCCTGTGCTCTCTCTTCAATAAACTTTGGTTTGTGTGGACATTTTGCCTTCCCTGTTCAATTCTTTGTCCGTAGAAGGCAAGGACCCCTGCTCAGGGTCTCAGGGTCCCCAGTAACACTTCCACTGTCACATCACTAATACCAAAGGCAACTAACTCCCCTCCCATATCAGACTCCAGGGCCAGCTTTTTATGACAGCTTTTCTTTCCTGGTCTGTTCCGAAAGCACCTCTGAACACATCTGCCCTGGGCTTAACACCAAGGGTTTCTGAAGCCCCACTCCAACTCGCCGCTCTCACACTGACGCTGTGCCCTGAGCTCCCCTCCTAAGGGATGACCTTCCCCCTTCTCGGCCTCCTCCAGGCGTTCTCCAGCGACCTCCTTTTGATTCTCACTTACCTCCTTCCCTTTCGCTCTGCCTTTGGAAGGCAGTTCAGCTAACACTCATTAGCACATGTTAATGAGCATCAATTCATCTCTCCACCACTCTGCAGAGATGGGAGCAGGAGGGCTGAGGGTGCCACTCTGGGGGTAAGGCATCCAGGAGGCTCAGGCCACTGCGTGTGGGAAGCATCGCGGCTCCTGGCCTGGGGAGTCCGGCCCCGCTGTGCTCAGGATGTGCTCTCGGTGGCTACTTCACTTTGCTGTGAAACCAGCTCAGCACATCCTTTGCTCAGAGTTGGACATTCCCTGCCCACTGGACTAGGCAAACTGGCACGAAGGCCCTGGGTGGGCGTGGTTAAGGGCCTGGGACAGGAGGATTTGTTCCACCACCACGGACAAATGTCTAAAAGACCCTGGAGTATGTCCAGGGTGAAGCACGTCCCAGGGGCCAGAGGACAGTAACCAGTGAGCACACTAACCGGGGCACAAGGAGAAATGGGAGGCCCTCGCCCACCGCCATCCAGATCCTCTCACGGGGATTTTGAAAATGCTGGCTTCTCCCCAAGACTGGACCCCACTAAGGGGCCATGAGGCTCATGGAAAGACAACTGGGTTCCAGATCTAGTCTGCCACTTATTTACTGAGTGACTTTGAGTCACTTAGGCATTTTAAGCCGCAGGTCCTTCATCAGAAGAGTGGTCCTTGTTTCTCCCGCTGTGGAAGGGTCAAATTAGAGCAGGCAGACGACTTACTGACTAGGATACAAAATACTGGTAAAATTTATGTTATTATTATTGTTGTTGTCATCATCATCATCACTGTTATTGCTATTGGTCCTGCTATATAACTGGTGGCTGTACTCAAGACAACGGCCCTGGTGGAACAGTGGTTAAAGAGCTTTGCTACTGATGGAACCCACCAACCTCTCCAAGGGAGAAAGATATGGCAGTCTGCGTCTGTAAAGATTCACAGCCGTGAAAACCGTGAGGCAGTTCTAGTCTGTCATAGGGTCATTATGGGTCAGAAACCACCACTCCACGGCAGTGGGTTTGTTTTTATGGAACTCAAGAGGGAGAGATCGGAGATGGAGGGAGGAGAAGGACAGCTTTTCTCTCATTTTCACCCAACAGCCTCTGAGTTTCCCTGGCCGAAAGCAGTTGTCGCCTCACCAACCCGGGCCCAACCCAGGCCGCCCCTGCCCCGCCGAGACCAAGCCGAAATTCTCTGAGCCCGCGCGCCCCCTACTGGAGGCCTGGAGAGGGCTCAGCCTCCAGACTATATATAAAGGCAGCGTGGAGCGCAAGAGACCAAGACGCGAGCGAGAGCCGAGCCGGCGCGGACGGAGGGCGCTGTGCTGTCTGAGGTCTCCAAACGGCTCGCCATGGCTGGTCCGCCTCAGCAGCCCCCTTACCTGCACCTTGCCGAGCTGACGGCGTCCCAGTTCCTGGAAATCTGGAAACATTTTGATGCAGACGGTCAGTAAAACGCCCAACTTTGTGTCCATCAGCCTCCAGGGGACTGCGGTAGAGGGGAAGGGGTGGGCTGAATGTATGCAGGCGTACATCTTTGCCCCACGTGGGGTTTTGGCCACAGAGTCTGCTAGAGTCGGGGTCTCACCTTTGGGAGACAACTGGGTGCTCAGGTAACAACTGTCAGTAACTTTTCTTCCCAGACATAGGCACTGGGCTCTTGCAGCCTCATCTGAGCAAGCTGGAGCTTTCCTGGAGAGAAGGCCTGGGCTGAGCGGGCTCCCCATTACTCCCCCTGCCATCTCCCACCTTTCTCTTCAGGGTACCTGCCTGGCTTTATTTGCTGCAGCCACAGGTCTCAGAAGCCCACTCAAATCTTTCCTCACATTCCCCTTTTGTTGAATACTAAGTTAGCCCCATCACAATCCTGGGGCCTGGGGCGAGCTGGGGACTCCTGCAGGGAAACCCTTGGCTTCCCCAGCCTTGTTGGCTGGGAGCAGGAGTGGGGAAAGGCGTTCCGGGCCCCTCGCACCTCCTAGGCTTCCTTCGCCCATTTTCCAACCCCCATGGGCATATGGGTTTCCCAACAACAGCCACAGTGGTGGGGACAAGATTGGGTTCTAACCCCAGAACTGTTCCCTCATGGTGACGACCCTGGGTGCTTTCAGTGGTTCCATTCTGGGGTAGGGGGAGGCACAACCTTAAAGGTATCAGTGACCACTCTGTGTGGTTTCAACACTAACTTATCCCCAAAGTGAGGCTGGATTGAACAGCCTTCGGATTGAGATTCCAAAAGTCTATAAAGCTTCAATTCAGGTGCAAAGGGAGGCCCCCTCTGGAGGCTTCTCATATCACTAGAGACTCTCCATCACTCAGAAAAACAGGTGATCTCCTTTTCTTCTCTGAGGTCTTGGCTGGGGGTAAGCATCCAACATATTGTGGCATTTCAGACCCAATGGCAAGGTGGTGGTTCAGGGTTTTTATCCTGGGAGTGAGAGTGAGGGGGATGGGAACAAGAGAGAAAATCAGGTGGTGGCTCACTTCATCATTCCTGTCTCCCTTTCTCACCTTGGCGAGGTGTGGAGGTAGCTAAACAGAGGCCCTCTGCTCACAGTACTGTGGCAAGGTGTGGGTTAATGTCTGGGGATACTAATCAGTGAAGCATTGTCCCTATGAGCTGACAAAACCAGAAGGGCAGAGAAATGGGCAGCTGGACCCCTGGGTGAAGACCCCGATCTGCTGTAAATTACTGAAAACGGTTGGGTAGATGGTTAAATCTGTAAAATGGGGCCAAGGAGTGGTTGTATTTCTAATCCCTGGCTCAGGCAGTAAAAGTCCCTGAGTGGAAAGAGCTATAATAGGTTTGTAGCCTCTTAGTATTCCAGATGACATGCCTATTCCCTAAGGATGATCCTGCCAGTTTATCTGCACCAGAGACTTGCATGATTCAAGGAAAGTTACCAAGTGGTCAAGGTTATGCCACCGGCCTCCTGCCAGATGAGTCAGCTATAAACAGAGCTCCACGATTCTACTTTTTCTCTGTTCTCACAGGGCAGCCAAGAGAGCTCTCAATAATCATGCAAATCCTTACATTTATATGACACTGTACTTTTCAAAATGCAATTGCACCTTCTTGAGTCACGCTCTGTGAGGCTGGCTGCTGGGCAGATCATGATTCTCCTTGCACAGACAAGGAAACAAACACAAAGTGTGACTTGTCCAAGGTCACACAGCAGGTTAGTGGTGGAGCTGGTTCCTGGCCAGGGCTTATTCCCACACTCTGGATTCTGGACACCTGATTGGGTTGGAAGAGGGGTTTTTCCATGATGGTAGATACAAGTCTCCTTTTCATTCTCTGCAGAAGGGCCTCAACCCAACCTTGGAGGAGACCAGCAGTTCCTTTCATTGCAAAGAGGGGTCTTTCACTCAGCTAGGGCATGGCTAAGCTAGAACAAACCCAAGTCTTTAAAGACCCCCAAAGCCATGGTGCCTGTGGCTCCCTCTTGCTCTTGTGTGAAAGAGGAGCTAAAAGCTTGCTTCTGGCCTCCTTTGTCCACCAGGCTCCCCATAGCCCTCTCTAGGTCACAGCCTCAGGAAGTCCCAAGGAGAGATCAGAAGAAGAGGCTAAGAGGCTGAAAATGCCAATAAAGTGGAAGAGAAAGGTGATCTAGGAAAATGCAGACACAGCCAACTGGCAGTTCACGAAAGGATCCAAAGCAAAGCTTTGGGCTGCCTTGGCCTGACTTCTCTCTGACCTGCCTCCTTCCCTCCCCGGCCCTCCCCTTCTGAACACACCTAGGCTGCCAGCGAGCCCCCCACCTCACCACCTGTGCTCCCTGCTCTACACTGGGCCTCTCTCTTGCTATGGCTTCTGTTTTCAACTTGTGGTTTCTCCCCATCTCTAAGGCCCCCCTGCCACTCAAGACCTTAAAAGCCTCTGGGAGAACTTGCCTTTGCTGCTTACCAGGTCCCTGGAGTAAGTTCACTGGAGCTCAATTAATCACAGCCACCTGTGAGAGGGAGCCACCTCCCCACCCCTCTGGACGCCCACATCACTACATCACGTAGTAAACAAAGGAGACCTTAAGAGACAGCTAGACGCCAAGGAAGGAGGGGAGCCAGGAGGGAAGAGAGTACAACTCTTATCTCAGCCCATTCCTGAACAGGAGGAAGAGTCATAGCCTAGTGCCTTTGCCCAAAGAGCCACATGATTTTCAAGATGACCATTCGCCTTAGGGTGGAGAATGGAAGGAGCAGGCATGTTGAGAGTGGGAAACTGGCACTCAAAGAGTCAAAGTCCCTTTTCACAAGATCACCAGGAAAGCAGGAGAGAACCCAGGAATCCTGTTTCCCAGGCCTCTACACCACTCCGTGGACCTTGCTCAAGATTAGCCTTTGGGAAGATCCAGATGTTGTCTCTCAAAGGCAAGAGTAGGGAAGATGGCGGCTAAGCCCACCCTGTGTCCAGAGTGGGGGTAGGGACTTTTCCACATATCACGTCTGTACTCTGAATAACCCTTAAACTCACTGCCATCGAGTCAGTTCCGACTCATAGACCCTATAGGACAGAGTAGAACTGCCCCATGCAGTTTCTTAGGCTGTAATCTTTAAGGAAACAGACTGCCTCATCTTTCATCTTTCTCCTGTGGAGAGGCTGGTAGGTTCGAACTGCTGATCCTCTAGTTAGCAGCCAAGCACTTAACCACTGTACCACCAGGGCTCCTCAATGACCCTTGCTGTTGTTGTTACATGCCGTTGAGTCGCACCCAACTCATAGCAACCCCTTCTTGGGTTTCCAAGGTGGTATCACTACAGAAGTAGATTGCCCAACCTTCCTTCCGAGGAGTGGCTGGTGGGTTTGAACAGCCAGCCTTCTGATTAGTAGTCAAGTGTCTTAGGCACTACGCTACCAGAGCTCCCGAATGACCCTTGTTGTTGTTGTTGTTGTTATGTGCCGTCGAGTCATACCTGACTCATAGCGACCCCTCCTTGGGTTTCCGAGGCAGTATCACTACGGAAGTAGGATTGCCCAACCTTCCTTCCGAGGAGTGGCTGGTGGGTTTGAACCGCCAGCCGTCTGGTTAGCAGGCAACTGTCTTAGCCACTATGCTACCAGAATGACCCTTACATGTCCTTATATGTCTGAGTCTGTTGACCTGTTGCTTCCTGGCCACATTTTTGTCAGGAACATTCTTACTCCAGGCAGATCCACAGAGCTATGTGGCCCCCACCAATTGAGTCCCTGAGGCTCCTATTCTGAGGGCCATCAATTGGAGATCCATGCAGGGATAAGGCTATGACTCAGAACAGAAATATCTTAACCTTTGCCACCTATGGCCTATGGGATCAAGTAAGAGGGTAGCGACCAGATGGGCAATGAGTTCTCCCCCACAGGCCCAACACACGTTCACACGAACTGGGAGCGAGACCAAGAAGGGAATCCTACTCACTTATAACAATCAATCCTACATAGAGATACTTGCAAAACATTACATGAACAAGGGGATCTGCTGCAGTGTTTTTTGAAATACTGAAAGTGTGAGGGGTGGGAATGCCCATCACTTGGGCATTGCACTGATTCCTGCAGTGAAGTATTATGAAACCAAAAAGGTGGAGCTTTTTGCACTAACATGGAAAAATGGCTGATGCATTCTTAAGAGAAGAAAATGTAGCAGAACACTGTATGGTATAACCCATTGTTTATTATTAGCAAAGTTCGTATGTTTGAAAACATTTCAAAGAATATAACCAGGCAATACTGGTTATCTACTCTACAGAGTAGAGGAGGTAAAATTAAAGAGCATTTTCTTTCAGTTTCTAACTTCTGTGGTGTCTGAAAATTTTACAAGCGCATGTGTTTCTCTTGTAATCAGCAGAACAGTAAAGATGTAAGAAGAAAATAATTTTATGGACACCTCCCCAAAAAAGTACATTTCCAGAAGGGAATCTGTCCAGACTTTTCTGGGCCTTCATCCACCTGTAGATGCACCTGGTGAAACAGGGGCTTCTCCAAGCTTCTCACATGGCTGAACCTTCATTCCTCACCTGAGGGCCTCTGAGGACCCCAGCACTTGAGCACTTTGAAAATTAGCAAAGGAAGAACCACAAAGGGCCAAGGAAGGCTCTGCCTTGTCTTCCTGCCTCTGTTCTCCTACACCCAATGGTAATTTTTTAGGAAAAAAAAAAAAAGTACACTTTAAGCCCACACCCCACCGAGGACCACTTGCCAGAACCATGTGCCCAGACAGGATCCCCCAAGGTGCTTGTCACTGTTAATTATTTGTCCCTGGGTATGGGTGGAGCTCTGGTGGTATAGTGGTTAAGGCATTTGGCTGCTAACCCAAAGGTCAGTGGTTCGAACCCACCAGCCGCTCCATGGAAGAAAGATGGGGTAGTCTGCTTCTGTAAAGATTTACAGCCTTGGAAACCCAATGGTGGTTTCTATGAGTCAGAATCCACTTGATGGCAGTGAGTTTAGTTTCTTTTGTGGGTGTATGGAGTGGGTG